AAGCCAAGGAGAAGGGGGGAGTCAATGCCAGGACCACCTGTCTTAGGGGGGGAGACGCAGCTTTGCTCTTCCACGAGGCTGGAAGATCTCAAGCTGCTCTACGACCACCAACTGAGTGATGGAGAGACATAAAAAGCTGGGATTTTGCATTTTTCTACTCTCTCCTCTCTGAAACAGTGTTAAGGCAAAGCTGCTGACAGAGAAAACGCAGTGGGATTTTTTCCCCCATCAGCCATGGAAAGAGCAGAGTGAGGCAGAGTATGGGAGGTGAGCTGGGCAGTGCCATGCCCAGGAGGAGCCTCAGGAGGAGCTGAACCCAAGACTGAGCAGCTTCTGCAGCTCTGGAGAGGAGCTGGTGCAGGACAGGGATCAGTGCTGGAGGAGAGCAGCACAGATCCTTGTCCAAAGTCCCTCTCCAGCTCTCTTGGAGCCCCTTTAGGCACTGGAAGGTGCTCCAAGGTCTCTCCACAACCTTCTCCTCCTCTGCAGGCTGGACATGGATGTCATCCTGTTCATGACCATGCTGGCAGCAGGCTCCAGTCAAACAACAATCTGTTTGGGAAAAGCCTGAGCTCAGCCCTAACTCTGTCCCCACAGCTCAGCCCCAAACTCCTCTCATCCCACACCTCAGCCCCAAACTCTGCCACTGGAAAAGCTCCTGATGCCTTCAGGGAATATTGAAATTCAGCCATTTAGTGACCAGCTGCCTCCCCCAGCACAAGCAGTCAATTAACGAGTACAATAATTACTAAATATACCCATATATTTAAACCAACACGCACAGAGATGACCTTGAGGCCCAGAGAAGGTGATTTGCAATCACTCCTCTGCTCTCCCAGCTTCCACTGTGAGGAGCTGACAGAAGCTTTACAGTAAACTTAAATAAACATATAGGAGTTGTCCCTGGGGACAGCTGGAAGTGCTGATCCCTTCTGAGGCCTCAGGAACATCAACACTCCAGACCTGCTCTCAGAAGGGAGGTGCTTGGGGGTTTTTTTTTCCCATATATACATCATTTTGATGAGCTGCTCCCACAAGGTCTCCTGTCCCCGCTGAGCAGAGAAGCTGCTGAGCAAAGCTTGTGACCAGGAAGAACTAAGAGCAGCAGCTCCTTGAAAAGGGTAATATTGTCAGGAATACTGGGCTGGCTGGATCCCAGCCCTGACCTGGCAACACTCCTGTCCCTCCCTGCCAAAGCTAAAGAGAATCCAGTTCAGCATCTCCATCACACAGAGCAATTTGGCTGCAAACTTGTCACATGCTCCCAAGGTCACCATGTGCCTGGAGAGCTTAAAACAAGGACTGGAAACCAACAGCTCCATCCCAACACCCGCAGAGCACTTCACCCCCCCGGACTGCTCCCCTGCCCCAAGCCCTGATCCCCCAAACACACCCCCTGTGGGCATCTCCTGCAGGCAGAGGTGCTCCCCACACTCCAGCCCTGCTGGCATCAGCCCAGCCCTCACTGGGAGCCAGCTCTGAGCCCACTGCCCGCTCTCCAAGGGGCACTGCAGCCCAGCCATGCTCCAGGGCACAGCACAGCTTCCTGAGCCACAAAACCAGGCTGAGGATGGGCTGAAGTGCAGAACTGGGGGTGGCAGGGAGCCTTCTCACCTCCCCCAGAGCTGCCAGTGACCCCAGTGAGATGGTGGCATTCTGTGCAGGGTCAGGAGTTGGACTCGACAACCCTGACGGGTCCCTTCCAGCTCAGCAGATCCTGATTCTATAAGTTTATGATTCTATGGGGTACAGGCCCTCCCCAAACCCTTCTCCATCCATTCAAACTGCAGACAGCTCTGTGAAAACCCCTTTTCAGTCTCCACAACACCACTGCCTTACCCAGGTACCGAGGCAGCAACAGCACTGACAGTCCCCTGAGCGAGGTCTCACCTCTGAGTGGGGCTGCAGCTCCTCATCCAGCACAGGGAAACGATGAGGGCAGGCAGTAACACAGGAGTCCAGTCCTCCCTCTGCCACAGAAATGCCTCATCATCCTGACTGGTGCTTGCATTCCCATCCTTTTCCGCTCTACACGGAAGAACAGGCCTTGGACACTTCCAGGTGTCCTCCCTCTGGTCACCACAGTCTTCCCAAAAACCACGGGGTGCTCAGCACAAACCCCACCCAATAACCACTAAAGTCAGTTCTGTTCAAACACTGGAGTTTCCAGGGAGATTTCTGTTCTCCAGGCAGCCACCAGCTCTTTAAACTGCAGCTGCCATGGCTGGGAGAGGGGAGGAGAAGGGAAGCAGTGTTTTCCCTTGGATAAATCCACACTGAAGCACAGCAGGCATGGAACACGATCTGGCACAGACCTGCAGAACCTTTGTGCATCCACACACTGAACCAGACCTTAACAAACTGCTTGGCATGAGGAGCTGCAAAAGGATGAGGCATCAGGTGAGCCAAGTGGGAGAAGCTTCCACCTGCATCCAAACAGAGCCAGAAGCCACCATCAGCTGCCATGGTGAGCTCCAAGAGAGCAGAGCCACCACCCATCTCCCTGCCCAAGAAGAAGTGCTGCACTTCCCCTCTGTTCTTTTCTTCCCCTCCTGTCCTTATCTTGACCCACCTTCAGTTAAATTTTCTCACTCCTGTCCAGCTGAGGGGGTGATGGAACAGCTTTGGTGGGCACCAGGGTCAGCCCACCCCACTCAGGGCTGGTGAGAAGGGGCCAACTGACCATCTGGGGTTTAGAGGTGCCAATTCCTGACAGATCAGGGACCACACAGCTTGTTCAACACATCCTTCCCTGCCGTTTTGGCCAGCAGGGACCATAACCACAGCACAGGACAGGCCCATTTTCCAGCTGTTCTCCCTGAACATCAAGCAATCAGCAGGAATTCTTTTCCAGCCCTGTCACACTGGCTTCTCCCACACTGTGCATCCACCCTGGCCTCCTGGGAGATGTTTGCAGAGTGTCTCCACGCCCACCTGAGCACGGGATTTTGGCAGGTTTTGGTTTATAACAGATTACCACTCCCTTGGAAGCCTCCAGGCTGCTGGTCCCCATGCCCAGCAACTGCTCAAGCATGGAGCACTTTGCCCTTGCTGCTCCCAGAGAGGTGCCACCAGGCTGGCACAAGCCCTCTGGCCTCGACTTTGCTGCCAGCCCTGTTTGTGAGGCCCCCACAGCAAAGAGAGGGGCAGCACCACATGAATGATGCACTTCTCACAAGGGTCAGCCCAGCTCCCCGGGACTAAAGGAGAAGCTTTTCAGGACAGAGTTCTTGTCACAGAATCATCAGGGTTGGAAAAGACCTCCAAGACCATCGAGTCCAAGCTGTGCCTGATGCCCACCTTGTCCTCCAGCCCAGAGCACTGAGTGCCACGGCCAGGCCTTCCTGGGACACCTCCAGGGATGGGGACTCCAAAGCTCCCTGGGCAGCCCCTTCCAAGCCTGACCACCCTTTCCATGAGGAAATTCCTCCTGATGTCCAACCTGACCCTCCCCTGGCACAGCTGGAGCCGTTCCCTCTCCTCCTGTCCCTTGTTCCCTGGGATCAGAGCCCGACCCCCCCCCGGCTCCCCCCTCCTGTCAGGGGGTTGCAGAGCCAGAAGGTCCCCCCTGAGCCTCCTTTTCTCCAGGCTGAGCCCCCCCAGCTCCCTCAGCTGCTCCTGCTGCTCCAGCCCCTTCCCCAGCTCCGTTCCCTTCCCTGGATATACTCCAGCCCCTCAATGTCTTTTTGCCATGAGGGGCCCAGACCTGGACACAGGACTCGAGGTGTGGCCTCAGCAGTGCCAGCACAGGGGGACTTTCACAAAGACAGGCTCTGGATGGGATTTCCAGAAGGAAAAACTCCCTTCCAAACACACAAGTCTTGTGTGCAGCAGCTGCAGAGATACCACCACAAAGAGACAGCAGAACTCCCCCTGAGTGTTTTTGGGAAAGCCTGTTATCTGATGGGCACCCTGAACCCAACCCGTTTTACCATTAAATAACAAATTCCACCTCCTTAATCCCCTCTGCAGAATCAGACAGTGCAAGGCTGCATCTCTATCTCCTTCCTCAAGCCATTCCAGGGATTTGCCACATGTTGTTCAGGGCTGCTGTGTTTTGCTCCAGTCTCAGATAAGATTTGGCTTTGCCCCATCCCTGAGGTGTTTGAAGGCTGTGGGGTGGAAGGTTTAACTCTGGCACCACAGCGTGCAAGCACACCTCTGCCAGGAGCCAAGCTGAAAGAAATCAGTTATTTGGATCTGGGAATTAGTGCCAGAACCTTTAGCAGAGAAACAGTCACCAATTGCCTGGAAACGTTATTAGAAGCAGCAAGTGCCAGGGGGGGGGGGGACAGAGTGATTCCATAAGGCTACTGAGCCCCTGACAACACACTAGTTAATTATCTATTGAGTCCTCTGAGAGTGAAGTAGATGGTTTAAAACAGTCAAAAAAGCAAACACACATCTCATGTGCCCACAAATATCTTAAAAAAAAACCAAAACAAACCCCAAAACAAGACAGAGTACATGATGTTCTCTCCTACAACCCAGACTGAAACCCAGCTGTGCCAGTCCTGCCCAGCACATCTCACTCCACTGAAGGCTCTCCTCTCCCATCTTCATCATTTTCCACTTCTCCACAGCCCTGAAAAGGCTGAAGGCTGCTTAAAAGCATCTTCCAGGCCTCCAAAAATTCCCCCAGTAGGAACACAGATGTCAGAAATCGATGGCAATTAATCACCAGGATCCTTCTGGCAGCCTGACTGGATCTGCATTCGGATACAGCCCCCTCACTTACCTTCTCTGCTAATGAAAGGAGCAATCTATCCCACTCCGTTCCTTCGTGGGGAAGAGCACAGTTGGATACAAGGAGCATTAACTATGAGCCATCCTCCCCCTCTCCACAGGCTCAAGCTGTTTTCTTCCGGCAGCAACAGCCTGGCCGGAGCCGTTTGGCTGTGGGATAATGGGCACGGGATAATGGGCACGGGATCATGGGCACGGGATCATGGGCACGGGATCATGGGCACGGGATAACGGGCACCCTGGAGGTTGTCAATCAGTGGAGCACCACCCAATCTGGCACCGAGTCCCCCCAAAAAAGTAAGTAAAGGCACGGGCTTGGGAAAAGAAAACTGCGAAGGAGAAAGAAGTGAGGTACCACAGGAGGGAGGCAGAGGGAGCTTTTACAGCACATTCAGGCACCGAGGAGGGAACGGTTTGCAGGAGTTTGTTTAACCACTGTTTCCTGCTCTCTCCGGGGTGTCTGTCCCTGCTGGACCAGGTAGTTTTAAGCTGAGAAAAACCATCTCGGTGCCAGCGGGAACGAAGCAGCTCCCTGTGTGTGCTGTGGAGGGGAAGGGGCTGCAGGGGCAGGACCTCAGGAGCTTTTGAGCCAGATCAGCTGAATGGTTCCTCTGCCCAGAGCAGAGCACAGCAGGCAGAGGCATTCCCCGCCCTCAAAGGCTGGCTCCGGGGATCATCTGCAGGCAGGATGGATATAAGGCCATTACACTGCACACCTTGGGTAAGGCCCAGTTCAGCAGGTACAGTACAAACACGCAGGGAGAGACTGTCCCCTGTCCCAGGCTGCAGCCTGGAATTGTAAATAAGATGTTTTGTTGCCCAGAGAAGCTGTGGCTGCCCCAGCCCTGGAATGTTTAAGGCCAAATTGGACAGGGCTTGGAGCAACCTGGGCTAGTGGAAGGTGCCCCTGCCCATGGCAGAGGGTGGAACAAGATGAGCTTTAAGGTCACTTCCAACCCACACCATTCCAGGGTTCTATGATTCTGAGTGTATCCCACCCCCATCTTGCCTGACAAAGAGCAGGGAACTCATTCTGGGCAGAGGAACTGGGAGCCTGGGCTGCACTGAGGTGTCCAAACAGCTCATCCCTGCACGGGAACAAAGAGAACTGGAACAAAGAAAAGGTGACACAGAGGCAGGTGGGGAGAGCAGGAGACAGAAGGAGGGAAGAGGGAAGCACAGGCACTCCAGATGGAGCGAGAGCAGCGGGTTCCACAGCGCAGGGGGTGGAGGGTGTGACACGGCCTCCCATCAGGAAGACAAATGGGAATTGCAGGAGGCACAGTCCAACCTCTCCCCCTCTCCCAAGGCAAAGGTGACAGCAGTCGGGCTTTCAAGTAGCAGCATTTATGCAAACAAATGCAAATAGATGCATAATTATGGTGATTGCACACATTTAGCCCCAAGGCAGCAGGGAGCCCTCGTCCCTCTCACCTGGAAAGGTCAAATGAAATCTTAGTCCCAGGCCCTTCTTCCCAACCCCTCCAAGGGCTGACACCCCCCAGCCCTGCTCTGTAACCTCCCACCCCTCCAAGCTGGTCACTGCCCAGTGCATCCCTCAGGAAGCCCAGGACAATTATAAATAGAGCAGAAAACTCCACATAACTTTATTGGTGCAAGCCAAGGGATGGGGGGCAAGGGGGATAAGGGAATAAGGGCAATCTAGATCAGAGCACTCCCTCCTGCTTCCTCTTGTCTTCTCTTTCCACTCCACACCAAGCAATGCTGAAAGAGGTCACACAAACCACCAGCAAGCCCATATTGTTTAGGTAACACAAGTTACTTGGGGGGGAAACTAACTTTTAAAGAATCAACGTGGGGAAGCGAGCAGGACACTGGACTAAGCACCAAGGACATCCAGTCAGAGCCTGCACAGAGCAGAGGCCCCTCCAGCCTCCCCTGCCAGCACATCCCACCCCGAGAGGCTCAGGGGCAGCTTCTGAGCCCTGGCAGGAGCAGGGCTCCCCCAGCCTGCCCAGCTCCCTGCTCCCCCTGGATTTACCAAGCACTCAGCAGTCCTGACAGGGAGAATTCACAGAGCACCCAGCCAAAAGAAACTAAGGCAAGTCGTGTCAGCAGATGCTTTGGCAGTTTAACTGAGGGGATTTAGAGCTGAATAATTCTCTGAGCAGACACTGAGGAAAAAGTGTCAGGAAAATCCATCGTCTTCCCCCGAGGACACAGGGACTGAGTAAAGGATATTTTAATTCACCAGTTCTGCTGCACACTGATGCTTTTGTTTTTTCTTCCAACAGGCACTGGAAGGAAAGAAGCTTTTCTCCTTCAGGTTATCTTATCAACTTCTCTACTGTTTATTTACAAGGAGCCCACTAAATGACATTAATGCTCCAAGAAGTCAAGGATGCCCTAACAATACTAACCTGATGAACAAGCCAATACTGGTGCCAAGTGCTATCATCCCTGCATTATGAGGAGAGGAGAGATTAAGGACCTCATTCTAATCTTTTGCATCAGTATAATGTCATTTGATTTCATTAGGGCTGACTGTGATTTGCCGGTGTAATGAAGGGAAACAGATGACTAAGTAACTTGCCCACTGAGGGAAATCAGTGGTACAGCAGCAAATATAACCTGCTCCTACCTCTGGTGCCACAGCTAAACCCGCATTCCCGCAGATGCCGTCTGCGTGTGCAAGTTTATCCCGCTCCAAGTCAGATGAGGTGTTAATTGAGGAGCTCAGATGAGCTCACAGTGAGAGCAGAGCATCATCTCAGCACCCTGGTCAGCTCCAAGCGAGGTCCGGCATTAAATCTGCTCCACCACATCCTCACATCTGCCTGTGAAACCAGGAACAGCCCTTGACAGATCCACTGCCACGAGCTCTTCCCTTTAAGGAGCGTTAAAACTCATTTTTAATGCAGGCGGCTTCAAGTTCAAGCCCGATCATTTCCCCCCCTTTTACCTAGAGGGAGATCCTGCTGACTTTCCACTTTCCACCCTCTCCCTCCAAACTCACCCGGCTACAGCAATTGAAAAAGAAGCTGTTTGCAGGACAGAAGGGCAGAGCAGAAACCCGTGGCACTGCACAGAACCTGTGTTTTAAGCTCTTTTTTTAGTGCAGTTCTTAGTTGGTTTTTTTTTTTTTTGTTTCTAAGCAGATTCAGAGACCAAGGAACAGATTACTGGTCTGACTATTGGGGTAGATGCTAGTCACATCCTCCTGTGCCATGCTCTGGCTCCCTGAGATCCCCTGGGAAGGGGAGAACTTTCTAGCCTCTTTCTTTAGTGCCTTCTAAAAATACAGACACACAGTGATAAGCACACAGGCAGTTAAAGGAACACTGCTGATATCTTTACACAATCGGGGATCAATGCATTCCCTTCCCTCCTCAGTCATCCCATCCATCCCTGGCTGTGGGTGACAATCCACAGCTCCAAGCACTTGGAAGGGTCAAACCCCAACCAAATCAAGCTGCATTCATCCCTCCCCGGCCCCAGTGCAGGGGTGATTGCTGCCCACAGCAAATCAGCAGCGTCAGCTCACAATAATCAATTAATTCGGCATCACAAGAAACAGTGGAATGAGATTTGCTCTTTTGTAAGCTGTCTGCAAAGGAAAATTGCTCTAAATATGTTCCCAAGGCTCAGGGCTGCACGTTTCATTTCTCAGAGGTCTTTTAGCAATACCATAAGCACCTGGAGCCCTTTCTACCTCCTGTGAAATATTGCAATCTCTGAAGACTCTCTCCTTGTTTGCCACCACGAAAACCCAAATTAATAGAACATAAAAGGAGTTTTAATCTCCTTTTAATTATTTTTTAAATGCCCACTTGGCACTATCAGAGCAGGGGATGGAAAGGCTGGTTTGGAAGGAGTGAAAACCTGTGCTTGAACAGAGAGATGGTGCTGGCAGGTGACGTGACCCCCCTCTGTCCCAGGAAAGGGAGGAGATGTGATGTGATCCCCCCCTGCCCCAGGCTGGGGATGTGATTTGATCCCCCTCCACCCCAGGCCAGGGAGGAGATGTGATCCCTCTCGGGTGTCAACCCAAGACAAGGGGCTTGAACCCCCCCCAGTTCCTTCAGAATAAACTCGATGCAAATCCAGTGACTTTGGCAAAGTCACCCTGGATTTACACCAAGAGGACAGAATCACACCCCTCAAGCCTGATGGACACAAATTAGTGCAGTTTTGGGGATTTTCATCAAGCTTATCCGGGTTTGCCCAACTGTCAGCACGAACAGCAGGGCCAGTGATGGAATCAGTGCAGCTCTTTTGAGGCTGGTGTAGCTCCTTAAGCCAAATCCTAAACCAGGAACGATCCACCTGAGTCGTGCAAACTTTCTCCCATCCCCTTCCTCCCCGAGTGATTCAAAGGGCATAAAAACCTACTGCAGAGCAACAAAAGTAAGGGGTGGGGCAGAAAGGGGTTGCAAATTTAATGCCGACTCCAGATTATTGGAGAAATAACTCCCTGGGTAACATTTTGATGGTCTAAACCCACAAAATACCTCAATTTTAACTGCTCTGCACGAAATATGACAGGTTATCAATATAAACTTTCAGCACAACTGCTGAAATACAGCAGTATATACACTATATATATAAAATACACACAGTTTATAGGCACAGTGCTATGTCCTACATAGCAAGGCTGAGGAAAGCCAAGCAAGCTCTAAAAATACGGCAGACAACACAAACTTCTTCCCTGACACCATAACTCACACGACAGTGATCTTTTGCTAAAGTGCACTCTTGAATGCTGCAATGATAGGGCTGTAATTGTAATGGAGTCATTTAATTTGGATCTGGATGAAACAGCGAGCACAAAGCAGACAAGGCATAAAAAAAACTCTCCACCGCTTCCATAAAGGTTAAGAAGCTGGTCCTTAAGTGAATTGATTTGGAGTGTTGAGGTAATCTTGCAGTTTAAGTCAGAATTGCACTTTTGATGTAATTTACACTACAACATCTGCAATCACCACCGTACCTGTCACAGGTCACCAGTCAGTTTTGAGCTGGGACAACGTGCAGGTCAATGTTTCCTCTCTGCCCAGGGTTGTGGCAGTTTTCACCTGGCGCCATGATTTTCATTTTTTCTGAATGATGCCTGAAAATACGAGGAGTACACAGAAATTGCTGCTACACAACAGTCAGTGCCCCTCTCCTCCTAGAGAGGAGGGCTGGAAGTGGCTGGGCTACTCCTGGATGGCCAGATAGGCACGAAAAGGCAACTGAGCCACCACGACTTGTAAAACCAACGCAGCGGCTGCCGAGCGCTCACACGAGGCTGCACAAACAAATCAAGGCAATGTATTCACTCACTGCTCTGCCTGAACAGCTGCCTCGCTGCCACACTCGCTGCCCAGCACCTCTGAGCACCCCAGCAGGCACAGAGTTGGTTTCTGGTTCAGTAAGTTTGTCGCCCTCACGCCCGGAGCAGGACGAGCCCGGGAGCAGCCGAGGAGCCTCGCCGAGCCCTGCCATCGCCTCACGCCCCAAACGATGAGCTCTGACAGCTCCTCTCACAACGACACACTCGGCACATGATGAATAACAACGCTGGCCCAGACAGACAGCTCCTTGCTGCAGGACAGGAGGGATGGAAGTGCAGCAGGGCTGTGCCCGCTCCCAGACGGACACGGAGCCGGAGCATCGCTCCACGGGCGGGATCGGGAGCTGAGCGCTGATCAGACAGACTCTAAGAGAGCTCAGCACAGCCCCCTCTCGAAAAGCAGGCAGGCAGCGTCTGGGAGATCAGCTACACAGCCAGGGGGGTATATAAAGAAAGGCTCTCTCTTCTCACCTTTCCCTCTCTCCATTTAATCCCAAGTACAGCGCACACGTGAATTCCAGGACCAAGCCCAGCCTGTTTATCCAACATTTCTCTCTCCATTGATCCACACAGAGCAGACCAACAGCCAGCAGGGAGGAGGGCAGGTCACAGAGGTTTGCTCTGTTCAGGGAGACCAGACCACAGCCAGAGAGGCCTTTGCAGAGCTGTTAATGCACCCACTCTGAGCCCCAGCTCCCAGGTTTCAAGGGGAAGCAGAGAATATGGGATCAAGCCACCCTGTACATCACCACCTCTTGTCCCTGCAGCTCTCACAGGCTGTGTGACACCCAAAACATCAGGCTGAGGTGTTTGCATCTTAACTCCAGGGAAATCCTCCAAAAGCTGCCCTTGAGCATCACTGAACTCGATCTACTCTTCAGCCCCGCTCCCAAATGCGGGATGTGAGGGCAAATAAGCACCTGCTTCATTTTAGAACCTCCAAAGGAACTATTAGAGCTGCAATAAATCACTCCATGACTCTTCCCTAGCAAAGTGTTTCTACCACCACCACCACATGGGTCATAAAAACCCTTCCCAGGTGTAAAAAGAGCCCAGGACCTCAAGAAGGTGCCAGCACTGGGCAAGCGATGAATCTGTTGTTGAAAGTTCAGCTCGCGAGCACACAGATTCTGAGCTGCTCTTTCCTATCAGGATCATATTAACAAAATATAGCTCTTGGCAAACCACATCCTACAGGAATTATTTCTGTGCAGGAAGCACTTAGTTTCACTCAAAATTAATAATGTCTGAGAGACATCATGTACGTTATATCAGAGAACAAACAGAAAGTGATGTGAATTACCCAGCAGAGTGGGATGAATTGGAGATGAAGTCATGAAAGAGACCATTTCTAACACCTGGTTTCTACCCATCCCAACGGCATAATCAAAATATGGGGGGGTTTTTGCAATCTCCAGGGCACAAAATTGCAGGCTCACTTACTTACACTGGTGTTGTCCTATCATCAGGAACCAGAGAAAAAAAAAATTCCTACAAATATTTCCCCTGGTCTCAAGATTACCAGGGACTCATTTCCAGCCTGGAAGACGTGCCCTTGCCCGAGGCACTGATTTAAAGCTGGGGCAGGGACCATGTAGGTTGGCTGGGAAGACTGTTCAAAGCTGTGGGTGATTAATGTGCTGTCGGAGAACACTCCACACGAAACAGGCTCCCAACAGAACCACTTGAGCTTATTATGGAAAAATTAAAGCACAAACAGCTGGAAAACAGCTCTCCATACGCTGCCTACAAATTGCTACTCTAAAAAGTCGATTCTCCAGCTCGATAGGTTTGTGCCTCGGGAACGCTCCGAGCTGAGCCCACCCGCCGCAAGATCATCTCCGTGAATGGTTCGGGTCACTTAAACGCGGATTTGCCACAGGACACCGAGTTTCGGGTGAAAATCTCACAGTTTATGGATTTCCCCACCCCCATAAAAGCTTTTATCGATAGCCGCCCTCCTGTTCTGTACTACAACAGGTCTCCAGGGCATGTGGAGCCGTGCTGGGAGAGCGGGAGCCCTCCCGTTGTGTAACCGTTCTCCTTCTCCCCCCGCCACAGTCAGAGGGGGATCGGGGATCTGCTCCTGCTCTGGGCACGATGCAGTCCCGAGGGGGCTGTTCTGCCTCTCCGTGCCTCAGTTTCCCCATCTCTGGGAGGACAAACACGCTACGGCTGCTGGAGTACGCGGCTTAAAGC